CCTGGAGGGATTCACTAATTCTCCTGCTATCTAGAAAGATTATAACTTGGTAGTGAGGGAAATGACTTTCAACCAGCTGGTTCAAAACTTTGATCTCAGTGGGTGGGTGGGAGGAGAGGGGGGGAAATTCTGTTTAATTCAAATGCCTGGAGTAAGGAACTTCAAAGAGTAGATGCCCCTTCACCTTCTTCTAACATCTGAAAAGCTACCGTTCCGGTTCTTAGGCCCTAGGGAGATGGAAGAAAGACAAGATATTGCAGATATTTGATGTCAAAGCAGTTACTTCTGAACGTTTGGGTCAACGTACAATGTCAGCAGAGGACTTGGCTCTGATTTTTTGCTTTGTGAGAAAGTGAAGACCCTTAACCTGCCCTGCTAGCTGGTCATTTCCACCTTACTACCCCATAGAACAACTAGCTGTCACCTCATTCATGTGCTGTTTACAGGTGGAATTATCCACCCTGAGTTTCACTTGCTTTCTGGAGCTGTAGCTGGTGTTCCTGGGTCTGGTGCTCCTCAGTCTGTGCAGCTGAACGAGTTGGACACTGTTTAGTCCCATGCATTGCCAGGTTCTCCTTATCCTTGCGGACAACAAATATAGTTCTAACTTCCGTTTAGCTTCTGGCTGCAGAAAATTTGCTTAACCTAGACTTCTGGTAGTTACCTGCCAGGGCCCAGCCTGGTCTCTTTGCAAGGGAGATGTGTACCATACCTACAGCCATTGCCCTCAACAGAAGTAGAATTACTCTGAATTTGTATTCTGGCCGTCAGTGTTGGAGTCCTTCTGACATGTTTCATTTTTGGTCCACTCACATAATAATAGCCTTAAGCCTTTTTCTGCTATGACTTCCATCAAAACTCTGCATGTTGGCTTCATTTCTTGATGTATGCTCCATGCTTGTTTGGTCTCTTCTGCACTGACCTTTACCTTAGACTGAGGGCTCAGTGTTAATTTGCCCATTGTACCAGAAGATGCATCTTGCTTGAAATAGCATGGTATATGTCTACCTTTCCAGAATGCCTTGGAAAACATACTAGCAAACCAGTGCTTTGGAGAAAGAAGAAGCAGTCTAAGACATGTAGTTAAACCAAGTTGATGATACTGTCACTTTTTTAAAAGAGACATTTATCTTCCTTGAAAAACAACCATTTGAGCCATATATATGTGTTCACTGCCTACATATATGGGGTATGCAGAAGTGAAGGAGGGCAGGAAATATTTGAATGGCTTACTCAAGTGACTTTTGGGTAATCCACATATGTGCAGAACTGTCACATTCTCTGGTAGCTGATATTGAATCTTCCATGGGGAGAGTTTTGAGGTCACTGACAACCAACTTCCGTATGTAACACCCTACATGAGAGCCAGCTTACTTCAGTGCTGGTGTGTGTAAGAAACAAGTGGTATTGAAGCTGATAGTCCCTGGTCAGGTTAATACACTTCTTTCCAGGCAATAAAATTCACTTTCTTACCCAGTGTCTGTTTAGTCCATCTGCTGCTATGTACTCTCATTTGTGTTCTGGCTCCTTTCATTTTTTAAATATCAGGGCACCTCCTTATTGCCTTGCAGGGATGTAACCTTTCTGCAGTGATCAAAGCTGTCTCCATTAATCATGCTATTACTGCATTGTGCATAGTGGGGTGTTCACTTATTGCAAAATGGGTGTGATCTTCTCCACACTGACTTTCCTCTCATATAAATACTGGATTTTCTAGTTCTTTATCTTGTCATTGGGGAGCATTTAAAAGTGCTAGCCCTCACCGCTCTGTTTGTACTTGTCTAGAACTTGCTGCATGGCTGTTGTCTAGGTCTGTGGTGCATGTTCAGCATAAGCAGGTCTAACATCTTTGCCTTTCCCTGCGTGCATGCTGCCCTGTGCTTGACCAAGAAATAACAATGCAGCCTTCCTGTCCAGCTGCTGAGATAGTCCTCTTGGCAAGTTAACTCACAAATGTTACTTTGCTGGTACTTGTGTCTGTCTGCACATAGCTCTCTGTTGTGTACAGTGCTTAACATGTCACATCTCCAGGCCCTTTTTGTGTACACTGGTGTAAAATGGGAGCATGCACACAATGTAAATCCCTACAGAGGACTGATGTCACCCAACCCAGTAAGAAATTAACCCTGAGTGAAAGAATCTGGGATGGAACAATGCTGTTATAAATTGAACTGGTAACAGATGCAGCCTTCATCAGTGTCTGTTAGGGTTAGCTGTCTTCTCAACGCCAGGGGGCTGTTGCTTGCTCCCCTGCCCCACGGTCCTGAGGTGCTGTATTAGCTGCAGGCAGCTACACTCTGGACCCCTTGTAGTTCACACAGGTGTACAAAACTGTTGTAAATGGCCCTGGTATAAACCTCACTTATCCAGGTACACAGGTTTCCCTA